ATTTTTTTTGAAAATTGGATGAATCCTAGCGTGACGGTGAAATGGTTAATGAAGCGTGAGTAATTGGGGTACGGGTATCGGCCGCGTTGGGACCCAAGGCCCATTGTTCTTCGTGACGCCGACGCAGTGATCAGGAGCGTGGGGACGAGAGGGCTTAGTGGACTCCTGTATGAGCCACGTTTAGCAAATGGTCTAATGAGTCTCGAGGCTCATCACAGATTGCACTTACCACTATCCTGGTGGCCCCGGCTATCAGAGCAAGGAGTACCAACTTTTGAAAAGGATAACAGTGTTGTGGAGATATGTCAAAGCAACGTTGTGAACAAAACGGAGTGAGTGAAATTCTCATTCAAGGAGTGCCGAACTGGTCAGCCATCCTCGAATCAGTTCGCTTGCTTCCGCTTATATATGCATATTTTAAATCAGCGCGCCCCATTCTAAGGTTTTTTTAAAAAAAACCAAGAAACGTAGACTCTTGGTATTCATTACACATAAACTAGCGAGCCCCAGAATGAGAAACAAATTTTAATCATTATTATTGACGGATTAGTAAACTTTTTACACGCTTTGGAAAATCTCAGAAGTTCGCGGTAGTCACTTTTCGGTAAGGAACTAGGGGACTCGGTTATTGTATCGAGGGGGGGGGTCGAAACGATCGCAAAGGCGGTATACTACGTATACGCGCCAAAAAGTAGTATTTCATTAAGAATATGCGTAAGAAATTTTCAAGAAATCGGAAAAATTAGAATTAGAGGAGCCCCCAAAGGAACTGAATGAGAAAAAGATTTACTATTAAAATTAAATCAACTCAAGAAGATAAAATAAACTCAGAAAGGAAAATCAAACCTAATAATGAAAACAAAAAGTGAAGAACAAGAAAAAACGTAGGGAACCAAACCTAAAATATTGATAAATAATATAAACAAAAAATTACGAATTTTGAAATATTTGATGAACATTGGTTGAAAATTAAGCTCCTTTTTTAATGTCGATAATTTATTGCCTTTTGCTTCTAGGACACCGATGCATCTTGAAAAACATGTATCTCGTAATATTTTAAAATTTTTGTATGTGTGTTCTGTGTTTCATGAATTGGAAGAAAAATAAACGAATACCAGAATGTGGCGTGTGTTTTAAAACATGCATCTCGTAATATTTTAATACGTATGTAAGTATTTTAGGTATTTCCTGAAAGAAAGAAAAATGAATCAACATGATTTTTTGAATTTGCTTACGGAGTATTCTTCAAGAGAGGGAGAAAAATCAGTACACATCAATTGCAAGTGAGCAATTTAATTACTGTGCAAAGAAAAAGGAAGAATTTAAATGAATGTATCAACAAATTCACAATACAGCAATGCTAGAAACGAGTTCATAAACTTCCTCGAGCGGTAGAGTCCACGTCAAATAAGTTGACGCACTTCTGGACTTGGACAGAAGATCGTCTGACGCAATATTTTCATGTAAAGTAAACGGAAGAACCAAGAAGGCGGATCTTCCGCAGCAGTCTAAAAGTTCGTAAACTTATTTGGTGTGGCCTATATTCTGCCGTGCTGAGGAAAAACGCCGTATGGGTCACTTGGGTCAAGCGTTGGACAAATCACTAATTTTCAAGAAAATTTGTGAATATTTTTCTTCCGATTTCTCAGGTAATTTTGCTTGTAATTTGATCTAAAAAGTCTGAAAATTTCAAGGAAAAATATCGACAATTTTCCTCAAAAATAAATATTTTATCGAAGAAAATTTGGCAACTCTCGAATGTTCATACGACGTTCTTCCTTAGCACGGCAATATTGGTGTTCTCGGTCTCAGCCGTATACCTGTTGACGCGCGCAAAGGCGCTAAATAGGCAACTTATCGAGCATGAAAGCAGTGCTCATTGCATTCTCGGATTATGCAGGCGTTTTGCGTTTTAGCAGCACAAACCCCTGATTTCTCTTGCTTATTGCTTATTTGGTGATTACCTGAATACAATTTGAACTAAAAGCGTCGATATGGCTGTCGTCAATGAAGTTGATTCCGTACAAGTTGATGACCCGCAAGTTAGGTGTGGCTGATTTCAATTTGTGGACGTTTATAACCTCATAAATTTCTTCTTCTTCCTCCTCTACTTTTTCATATGTTCCTGCAAGGAGGGAAAATGACTATAAGTTGTTTGAAAGGGATAAACTATAAAGGATAACTTGCCGTGAACATTCCTCATTTTGTCGTGTTGCGCGTTCCCCTCCCCTACTCAATACAGCTCAAATTGCAGCACAATTAGTAATAAAAAATTAATGAATGATGAAATGATGGCAATACCCAGAAATCAAATTTTTGTTGATAATGGCAAAGAAAACAAAAATCAGATGTAGCTCCTTCATGATCTCCGTTCCGAACGAAGGAACGCAATTCCATTCAAAAGTTGCAAAATAGATTTTAACAATTCAAAAATAGCGACATTTCCATTTAGAAATGACCACGATTCTCTTGATAAAAATGCTATTTATGAGGATCAATTAAGTGACATCGAAATGCAGTTACCTTTTTAGTGAGAAAACAACGAATTGGACTACATTTATCAACATTGAACCGTTATTCCGGGCTAATTTTAGACGAGGCTCTTTTCGCCCAGACCCACACCACGTAGAAGCGCAAATAAATTTCAACAATGAACAATTTTCACCTGCATATTATGTTTCCACTAGAAAAAACTGTTCTAACTGAGCATTTTGCTGGTTTTTCTTCTGATTACATATGGACAAAAATCAGAACAATTTTAAACGGAGCCTGAGCAATTGTATATTTTTGAAAATTGAATCGTTTGCGTCAATTTGGCGACCTTGGAATGGACTTACGTTCCTTTATCTAGGAATGGATAATATGTGCCATTAGTCCCCCCCCCCTCCATGCAATTACGCGCTTTCATAAAGTAACGAGAAATCGTGGTTTCTGACTGCAAAATATGCTCTTTGTTCGTCGTGTCTCAGTCGAGGAAACGTTCCCCCATTCCAATGCTGCCAAATGTACTTACATAAAGAATTCTATGATAAAAAATGGCAGCGTAATTTCTGTCCAAAATTACGCTGATTTTCATGGATAATAAATGGGAAAATCTGTGCAATTTTCCTGGAAAAACGTTGAATAGTTTCCGAATAATAATCAAAACTGTAAATAAAATCTGGCGACGTTGGTAAATTCCTTCGTCTGGGAATCGACGTATTTTGCCAAATCTTATCAACAAGCAGCATATCGACGGTGAAACTACCAAACCACGTATCTCGGTTTGCGACGTCGCAGACTTCCTGTCATACTTTATTTTTTAAATGAAAAGCTACTTAACGTCCAGTCTTGAAAATTTCCGTGATTTTTCCTCTTCGTGCGGAGAAAATTCTGTGAAAATTTCAAGGAATGATATTGATTTGGTCTACTTCAAAAAAATAAAATGTGAGCGGAGATTTTTAAACACCGCAAACGAGATACGTGGTTTGGTAGTTTCACCGTCGATATTCCGCTTAGATGTCGAGAAATTGGAGGATCGTGCAAAGGCGATGCTTGAAAGTTAGTAACACTGTTCTTCCTTTTTCACATTTTAAAGTACGTAAAACAATCGATTCTTCGCAAAACAGCTCGCCTCGCCTAAAATCGATATTTATAATGGATTTGAATGGAAAAGCAGTGTTACCAAATTTTAAAATAGTCTCTAGGAATCTGTTTTCCACCGTTGTTCGGCAACTTGGTGGCATAGGGGAACAACGAACAAATATTAGTGTTGCGATTTGTCAATTCTTTGAACCTCGTTTCAGAGCTCTTACTCTCATGAGATTCGCGGTGCATCTATTTTTGAAACTGTCTCAGGCCGGCGGAACGATGGACATGCAGAAAAGTACGTACTAACATTACATTTAGCCCACGACATAGCCGCACCACGACTCTCTCGACAAAAATCCTCACCCTATTGTGAAATTCACTTTCCCAATGAAAAGTTTGCTGATTTCATTGAAAGGAATTTCAAAGCTCGTCGATATCTGAATGGGCGAGAGGTAAATCAAATTTTGATGGTCAGTGCAATATTTACATCGTCACCATCCGGCCAAAGTATCACAAGCGCCATGCGACATTTAAAAATTTCCGCCGCCATTTTATTTTTTTACCAAGAAATTGTTCAACGACGCTACTGTCAGAAAATTTCACTGAAATTTCTTTGTTCCGCCGATCAAATTTAGTGAAATTTTCAAACAGATTCTACAAACAATTTCTCTATAAAAAAATAAAATGGTGGCGGAAATTTTAAACGTCGCATGGCGCTTGTAATACTTTGACCGGAAGGTGACGATATGTCGCAAGGTAGTGGCCAAATTCGGTATATAGTTAAATGACCTGGCACATAACAAATACATCTTTCTTGCGGATTTAGATTCCGAGATTGTTTCCTGAGGCAAGAAAATATTGAAATACCTATGTAGATAGAACTTCGTTTTGTGCGTTCGTTCGATTCAAGTTTTTTGTGTGTTTTGCGTTATTTGCGATAAAAACTTATCTCAGAAATGCTTGATGCCTCATAAAAAACAGATTACTGCAAGATTTGACAATAAAGAAGTAATCTTAAAAAACCTTTCCTGTTAAAAAAACAAATATTGGTAGTTTTTGGTCAATATGTTCGTTCAAAATGTTGTTACCGCAGAGATCCTCATAAAATTGTTTCAAAATTTGGCCACGTTTATTGACATCTGACAAAACGATTTAACAATTAGCCACAAGAATTTCAAATCGTGAAACGGAAATTTTTCCAAGTTACACTCACCTATGAGATGCAATATTTCCAGTCCATTGATAAAATTGTAGATTTTCCTCATGAAACCTTCCATGAAAATGACCTCCGACAAGCAAATGCATAAATATTTTAACTTTGTTGGGAATGCCTGGAAAACATAACAATAAGAGTGTTAAGTGGCGGAGTATCGGCATTGGCTAAATAAGAAAAAGTACACTCATAATAATATGTAAGAGAATAATTTTGCAATTTGATGTGCGCTCTTTAGAATATGCGTTTCTTTTTATTTCTCAGAATTATTTCTGATCACTATTTCTTTTATGTCGTTGATAAGTGTTGATGCATAAAGTTTGCTTCCTGCACATCGGAAATTGAAGGCGAAATGGCAACAAGCGTAACCACAACACCTTCTTTCCGTCAATGAAGCTCCTATATGCCGCTAATGCCAGCGATCCCAGCCTTTTTTCCTGCGTAACATTTTGCAAAAAATACCTGCCACTGATGGTTTTCTCCAAAACGAACAATCAAGCTCGGAAAAAACTGACAAAGTTGAGGCTGTGATAGAAAGGTACTCCGCTGTCAAATGAAAGTCTCCTTCTATGTATCAGGGGCGTGGCGTGAATTGCGATGTATCGATTGTTATGCCATTTAAAGCTATGGTAAAAAATCGATTATTAAGGTGTTCGCTGCGAACACCCTGTTTATCGATCCTTTTCCATAGGTTTAAATGGCATGACAATCGATATATCGCAATTCACGCCGCGCCACTGCTATGTATCCAGTCAAACTCTCCATAGTCTCCATGCACGGATAGGAAGCGATTACATTGGCAGGTCTGCAACTTTGTGTGAGGACTCAAAGAGTCAAAATAGAAATTATATAGGCTGTAGTCTGAGCAGACCCAATGCACCCGCTCTGTATCTGTTCATGAAGTGTTTGACTCAATGTCATGGGGGGATCCCCCACACTTATGATCTCCGCCATTGTGGCCAAGAGCTTTTCTGAGCTTAGAAGTTCGTTTTAGGAAAAAAAACGAGTGGCAAAATTGTGTTTCTCGCGAAATACGATACGTTTGCACTAAATGGGTCTTTTTAAAAAATTGGTATCATAACGATAGGAAAATAAAATCGCCAATTATATTTCAAATTAACACGAGATTTGGACGTATTTCTGCCAAGCAACTTTATAGACGAGTGGGAGAGATGGGGTGTGCTCTAGAAAGCTAGATAAAAACAATGTTAAAAAGGGCGTGATTCCCTTCGGAGAATTGGAAAAGCAGGATTTTTCATTCTGTTAAACGGAACTATGTGTCAACTGAATGCGACACTCATGAGCCACGGGTATGTGACAAGAGCGTTGTGGACAAGGCTCATGAGTTAAAGGCTCCCAGGCGGCGGCTTCGTCACCGCTGACGTCACTGGCGTCCTATAATTCCCATTCATTCTTATGGCCCTCACTAACGAGCATACCACCTCTATTCCACCTTTTTCTGATTCCATTTGGCAGAAATACGTCCAATTATTTCAATATTTCGCCCCATGTTGATACGGTATTTCACTCGCCAACAGTGTTCGAAACTCACCTTTGAGTTTTAAGAGCCATGCGGCGCATCAAGCCCGATTTTTAGGCGCCATTGTAGATTTTTTAAGGGCCAAATTTACTTTTTGCCTATATATTACGGCGCATTTAGTGAAAAGTTAGACGCAAGATGTTTTAGTAACAGAACTAGTAAGAAGCTGTAACTTGGGGAAGACAAAAGCACTAAGGATGATGAAATCGTGAAGAATAGAAAAAGCTTTCGCTTGTAGTGCTAAAAATTTCAAATAATCACCTAATATGAAAATTCGGATTTTTAGGGAGCAATTTTTAGGGGCCACGTTGGCGCGGAGCCTTCAATTTTTAGGCGCCATGGCCGATTTTTTAGGCGCATTTGGCGCGTTGGCACCTGTGAGTTTCGAACACTGCTCGCCAACATGGTCGACTTTAACAGGGTGATCTCTGAAGCCTTCCAAAGTCCTCCTCCTTCTACTCACCTGCATTTCGCTGAAATCGTGGAGTTGCATGGCCGTGGAGAAATCAAGGAGCATGTGTGTGAGATTGGGGCATTTGTTGGCCAACTCGTGGAGAACGGTGTGAGTGATAAGCTCAATCGGGAGCTCGATGTACCGCAACGACGGACCGAAGCGGATACTGTCGAAAAGCAGAGACAAAAATGATAATAAGCCTCTTGAAAAGCTCTTAGATGGATGTTCAGACGAATGGTCCAGGGGCACGTGAAGAAAACCAGGGAATCCTAGATAATTGCACGATTAAAACCTGCAAGAGACCCTCCACTGGTCTTTTGGCGTCAGGTGGAGGCATTTACTATCGGGTATTCGATAATGGAGATGTTGCATGTGTGAGGAATTTGCGATTTGACTGTTGATTCTTGTGTAAAAGTTCGCGCGAAACACGATGGTGCCACTGTTTTTCTCTAAAGTCAACTCCCAAGTTCAAAAAAAGCTCTCAAGTTGAAACCAAAATGGAGGAGATATCCCACGCTATCCGGAGTGTCCACCTCTACATCGAAACAAACTCTCTATGCGAAGATAGGGAGCAAATACATTGACAGGGTTGCCGTGATTTCAGTTTTGGAGTCCCCATATAAAGTGGCAACCCTGCTAATGTATTTCCTCCCTATCTTTGCATGGAGAGTTTGTCTTGGTGTAGAGGTGGACTCTCAGGATAGCGTGGGATATCTCCTCCATTTTGGCTTCAACTTGAGAGCTTTTTTTGAGCTTGGGAGTTGATTTCATTGAAGACCAGTGGCACTATCGTGTTTCTCGCGAACTTTTACATAAGAATCAATGGTCAAATCGCGAATTCCTGTCACATGCAACATCTTCATTCTTTATGGAAAATTATAAGGGAGCAACAGCCATCACTCTTATTTCGGCTGTTGATCTACCTGAATGGTGATTGATGAGCTTCAGGCGACGTCATGAGCCAAAAGTTTCCCAAACTTCGGCATGTTTGCAAAACGAAACTGCCAACACGTTGTTAAACATCAACCATGTAGGTAGGTCAACGATAGAATGCAGAGGTCCCGAAAGTAAAAGCTTCCACCATTGCCAAGATACCAGTGGAGGGTCTCTTGTCTCTGATGAAAACCAAAAAAAAGTTAAGCGGTACGGTCATATTTGCGGTAAAAAAAAAAAAAAAAAAAAAAAAAAAAAAAAAAAAAGTGTTGGCTTGAAATGGCGTTTGGCAAACCTAGGTTTGCCTAAAATTTTCAGGTAAACCTAGGCTTGCCGGTAACAGATGCATAATTTCAGTGATTTTTATCATACACGTGTTGAAAAGTCGAGAAAAAAGGGATTCAAGTCCAGAGTTAATTGAAAATATAGGGTGTTTTACTTGGTAATTCTTTTTCTTGTGGAATTGCATACCCCGCCCTTGGAGTGAATGTTTCATATTTTTCAAAAATTTCACTACCTCGTAAAGTTTCGTGAAATATTTCACGCAGGAAACTCGGCACTGATTTTTAGTTCATCTCTTCGAAACACTGAGAAATATTCATCTTCCAATAATCGGATTTGAAAGGGACCGTAAAGGAGTGCACCACTCGTTTTCGCATCATCAATAGTTTTTACAAGCACGCCATGAATACAATTGCAATCATTGGGCTATCAAAAGCTCTATGAAAATTGACATTTTTATTAAATTTAAAAAAAACTTTAAGATTTGGGCCCGAGAAGCGGGAAAAACTGAAAAATATGCATGAAAAAGGAGTTTCTTGGACGCGATCCAGAGTCATTTTTGGAGAGCCAAGTGTCTCTCAAGATCGGCCCGGGACTATTTTTACGAATCTGATATGTCTGTGGGTCAAGCGTCTCTCAGGTGGATTCAAAACCTTCTATCTTCCGCTAAACACCGTGCGAAGTGCGCTGCACTGATAAAAAATTCTCGGCGTTTTTACCAAGGTCCGTTGGTACCTTTACCATCTCACTTTTTTTTACCAGTTATTGGTAATTTTACCAAGATACACTGAAGCTTACCTGAAAACCGGTATTTTTACTGTTATTTTCAGGTAAGAATACCACTTTTATTGGTAATCAATTCCCGGTAACTTTGCCATTTTATCTCGGTAATTCTACCACAGTCGATAAAAAATATTGGCGTTTTTACCAAGGTCCAGTAAAATTACCGAGAAATCTCAATAATTTTACCGAGATTTCTCGGTAAAATTACCAATTCCGTACATGGTAATTTTACCAAGAAAAAACTGGGATCACATAGAACCCTAAATTATTGGTAATTTTACCCTTTTCTTAGTAGATACACCGAGATTTTTTTTCAGTGCGGAGCCGTCCGTAATTTACGTCACCAATGTTTTTCAATTTATCGACCCCTCCCTTCCTCAACGTATCCAGCCGTTTTTAATTGCTAGACCCCTCTAAGAAGTACGTCATCCTTAGCGTAGTCCCCCCTCTCTTTTTGAAGGAAAACGCAGAAAATCGATAAAAATCAGTAGATATAGTCTGCACCATTAAGAACACGATTAATTGCTTTTATTGAGTATTGAGTGAAATATGTTTTGTTTTTCCCCTTTTTGCGGTAAACGCAGAAAATCGATAAAAATCAGTAGGTATAGTCAAATTTCAAGCAAGAATTTTCAGCCTTTTTGCCCTTACAGAAGCTCCCGTCATCCTTAGCTTGATCCCCCCTATCCCCGTTACCTACCGTCATCCTCCGCTAGACTCCCCTCCCCCCTATCTGGGTGACGTAATTTATGCGGACAGCCCCTTTATAATGAAAATTATCCGCAGAAAGCAAACATAGAAAACGTACACGGAAAAAAAGCACGATGTTGTTGATATGGACATTTCCAATTGATTGTGGTAGTACCCCGATTAATTATGATGGCACCCCATTTAATAATGGCAGTATCCCAATAAATTAGGTAACTAACCCAAATGTTGCGGTACTACCCTAACTTGAGTTGAAGCACTACCACAATTAATTAGAAACCCTGGTAAAAATTGGCGATAGGAGCTGCGTTTCAAAATACCATAGAAGTTCTTATAGTCGACTATAAAGGCTATTGAAAATCATATAGCCGGCTGTAAAAAGCGGAGCAAATCATATAGCCGGGCTATACGAAGCTATAAAAAAGTATACAGTCGGGTTATAGTTCCTGTCGCCGGGCTTTACACTTTATTGCCATTGGCTATAAAAGGCTATAAGAAATTGTGTAAAAATTCGTGTGCTTTGGAAATCATTAAGTTTGATACGGAACTACCTTAATATTTACAAAACGCACATTATATTTTCCTTTAAAACATATTTTCTTCTCATCAATTAAAATGAGATTAGTCCATACAGAGTGTGCAAACATTTCCAAATTAGAGTTGAAAAACGCTGACTCCGCGAGATCAAATATTAGAGCCTAACACAAAGCGGAGCGGCGACGCACTGGCGCCTACAAACCTAACAGGGATACTTCACGCATCGCGCAATGCGTGAAGTATCCCTGTTAGGTTTTGTAGGCGCCAATGCGCGTTTCGCGCTCTCTGCCCGCCCGCCGCGCAGCGCCGCAGCGTGCCACGGCGCGGCGTCTGAAGCAACTATTTCACACCAGAGGTATTGCACAGTATCATAAGAAATTGAAGGCGCTCCAACGTATTAAGAATGATAGGCATCCTTCAAAAGTACGGAGCTTTCCTCGCTAAATAAATCAAGATACTACGGCACAAAAAGAGAGCGGTAGTCCTAAAACTCACTAAGTCCTAGTATCCGTATTTTGTAACATTTGGCATAAACTTTATCGTCTGGCTGTTGCTGAATCGTCATCGGCTATAAAAGGCTATAATAAATTGTACAGCCGGCTACAGAAGCTATATGTAATCTTATAGCCGGCTTCAGGTCTATGGTATTTTGGAACACAGATTCTACTGCCAATTTGTATCAGGGAATGTCCATATCGTCCAAAAAATTGGGGTAGTACCACAATTTTAGGAGATAACCCTTGACACTTTTTTTCCGTGTAATTTAAAATCAGCTAATTCATGCATCCCAAATCAGTCAATGTCCCTCGAATGGTTTCCCAATTCCCCATTTACCTGATAAGTGCCAAAAGTGACTCCAGTGATCCAACATGAAGCCCTGAGATCTCCGGCCTGAGCGAGACAGCCGTCCACAATCGTGTGTCGTATGCGATCACCCGCCATTTCTTGCATACTCGTGCCATCCGACATATTTCCCGATGAGTTAAGTAGGAGAAAATGTTCAGCAAGATTTTGTCTGGGAGTTTCTCGATGGTCTGCAATCATTTAGAAATTCAATTAACCGACAGGAAAACAGGCCTTTTTTAGCACGAGCCGCGAAGCATTGCTGTCATTTTATTTTATCAGAAATTCTGGGGTTCCCGGGATTATTCCCGGATTTCGAAAGATCCCAGGAAAATTCCGATTTTTCAAAAGTTCCGGAAAAATTTCGAAATACGCCCAGATTAGGTTGGAAGATCTCGTCAAATTTGATCGAAGAATCATAAAATTTGATCAATAAATCCTGGAATTTAATTAAAGAATCGTGAAAATCGATCAATGAATCCTGGAATTCGATCAAAGAATCATGAAAATTTGATCAAAGAATGGACCACTAGACAAGGTACAAATTTAAGCAATCTGATACATGTTCCTTAACCAGAATTTCACGTGAAACACGATTTACACAACGAAAATTACTGAAACCAGCTCTTAACGAAGATATTAAAGTTTTTATCACACATTGGTTACGAGGAATTTGAACTGCCCGCTGACAAGGAACTCAAAGCTCTACGTGAGTCAAACCGCGCACTGCAATGGTTTCAGCAAGCTTCTCAATCGAGCAATGTTCATTTCTCACCGTGTGATGTTCAAACTTTTAGCAATTTGCTATAGCTAAGCCAAAGCGTCAAGATTGAGGTTGCCAGATTTTTACATCGCAGAGACTGTCATGATAACGTTTAGCGCGCGATGTGAATCACGCAGAGCATTGAGTTTTCATGAGCGGGTGGTTTGAATTCACGCATCAAGAAACATTAAATATCTTCGTGAGGAGTTAATTTCGGTAATTTTTGTTGTGCGAATCGTGTTCTTCGTGAAATTTTAGTTACGAAACATGTATCAGAATGCTGAAATTCTTACCTTGTCTAGTGGTCCATTACGAAATTTGATCAAATAATCGGCCAAACTTACAAAAAACCCTGAAATTCCGGAAAAATTCCAAAAATAGCCGGGACCTCAAGGAATCTCAAAGATTCCAAGATATTTCAAAAGTTTCGGAATTCGGAATTACTTCCGGGAAATGGCAGCACTACATTATTGACGAAATTAGGTGGGTATGTTCAAAGACAAAATGAAACCTTTTATCAAACGAAAAGAATTTATCTATATCCAAAGTGTACGTCACAAGTATGGTTGAGTTAATTCCATGCCGACAGTAGACGAGAATGCATTTAAACCAAAGATGTTGAGCCTTCGCCATGATACATTTAAACTTTAAGAGGGTTTTCCTTGAAACCATGCCTTTTGAGCTGCAAATTCATACCGTCGGAATTTTGACCGGTTAGGTTCCTTCTTTTCGGGTGTTTTTGCCATAAAAGTTTGTAAAAAACTCGACTTGCGACCGACCCTTAGACAAGCTATGAATAAAGCACTGTGGGACGTGTTTTCTCCTCAAGACGAACCACACAACGGGAATCCGGAAATTAACTTATGATTCATTCCTAAACAGGATATAAGTGTTTAAAGTTAACGTTGATCATGCGGCGAAAATACGAATGACGCCGTTTGTAAATAGTTAAACTTCCATTTGAACTGAGTTGGAAAACTTGTTACTCACGTCAAGGAGTTGATTTCCGAAATTTTTGTTATGTGCATCATTCTCTACGGCATATTTTGAGGAGCATACTTTTTTTCTATAAAACGTTGTCTAGAGAGAATGGTGGCCATGGTTTTTTTTTATTTTTTTTATTTTTTTTTGGGTGTACAGTGATTTCTGTGTTCTCACTGTTTCCTGTCCCCCCCTTTTTTTAAACATCTTTATTCGTCTTTTATGGAGAGACACTACCTAGTACTAAGTTTTAATTTTTTGAAAAAAAGTGTACATGTTTTATCCAACTAAAGAAGGCTGCAGTGTTTGTAGCCGAAGCCTCCTGGTAGATGTGTTTTTTTTCTAGTCTTAATTGTAATCCGCAGCTGTACTTTTCAAAAATGTATTTCTATTTCCACGGATGGTCACACCGAAAAGTTACAACTATCAAAATACAACTGTAAGACATGCGTACAGGTGGCCCTTTCGAGTTGTGAAAGGTCAAGGTTCATCAACAAACTTACAGTGTTGGCAAAAGGGCTCCTCACTTCTCCTGTGCTTTCGTCGATGTAAACTTGTGAGGATTCTACCATCAATTGGTTCCATACCTACACGGGGTAACAGAACACAGACACATTCATCCATAGCCTTATAGGGAGGAAATTGAAAGAACAAGTACTTTTTCGGTACCTCCAGCGCTTTGTTGACCTTTTGAAACAGTGGTGTCATCTTGAAATTTTTCAACTGGTTTTTATGTATTGATGAAACCTATCTGAGTGCTAGCACCTGTCAAGAAGGTGATCTCTCCCATAAAAAGGGACGAGGAAAATTGTGAGTTTTATCATTTAAAAGTAGGACGCATAATATGGGAATTTTGATCGACCTATCCACATTTTTTTGTTTCTCCTCATATTTATACCAAAGTCAACTTTTTGTTGCCTTATTACAAGCTTCAAAATTAAGGTTTTGGAATGCCTTGAATGAAGTTGGTTTAACATGGGGTTTTTAGTACTTCTACATTCTTTAATCTAGTACAACAGTCTTTAATTGATGGAGGTAATGATATCAATCTATATATTTCTGTTTTAGCTGATCCTGCATGACGAGTTTTATCATCTGGAGACGTTCACCGTCAAAATTTGCCTCTCCAGATATAAGGTACCGAACTTACTGTTTCCAACATTTTTTTATTCGAGGAGCTTGGAAGATAAGGCGCATATGTGCAGTTTCTAAACAAATTGAGTTATTAATGATTTCAAGTAAAACTAGTCTTAATACATACTCCATGAAAAATTGGCTCCCAAATTCCAATTTTTAAGCATCAAAAAGTCAGTTTGGACTTTCTTTCTGCCATTAGGGTCCATGTGACTTCGAAACTTCAAACACGTTTTTCTGGAAATAGCAAAAACTGCCTTAATGCGCATTGTCCTCCAAGCCCTTCATTTAATTTGACAGTTTTAAACCCAAGTCAACAGATACTCGACCCTGTGAACTGTTGGCCAAATACTCGTTAATACAGTCTCATATTATCAGTTTCTATTTCAGATAGAATGGACATGTTGCACTTCCTTCATACTCTTATACCGAATTCTTTTACGGAAAATGTATCCTGTATTTATAAAAAATACTATCCTTTTCCAATTCATGTTATCAATGTACTAAATTGCAGTAGATTAACTTTCAAGCAATTTTTGGACAGGAATGAAAAATTTAAAACATGGATGAATGAATCTGTGTTACTGACATCACTGGACATATTCATCTCGACGGAGTAGTTTTTTCCCGCGCACTTCACCAAAAAACCAAAAAAATGGGATACCGAGGATTTTCCGGACCACTCACGTGAACCCCCCAAAAATCACACCTAACCTCAAAGTCCCACCCGAACCTCGCGTAGCCCGACCTCAACCTATGCGTCGGGCGCTCAACCCATATTCAAATCGAACGAAATTCGACGCTCTCCAGCTGAGGATCGGAGGGAAAACTTCGCGGAAAATTGGCGGAAAAGCGGAAAAAATCGCGGGCGATGAACCGGTGGAACTTGAAAAGCGTTTGTAATACGAGAAGAAGTCCCGATTAACGCGAGTTGGGGTTTACCGTTTACAATGGCTCGGAAATAACCGGAGAAACGTATAATTCATGTTGAACAAATCTTAAAATAACTGCAGTCCCCCACCCCGGGCTCCGGGTGTTGACGCGTCGACGTGCGAGCCCCGAGACGTGCTTCGTGCGTGAGCGACGTCAGTCCGGGTCCGGATGTGGACGCTATCAGTGCTGCCGTGATAGCGAAGAGAGCAGTAAGTGCAAAAATGAAGTTTTGAGAAAAAGGGCTCAGAAACGTCAGATCGGAAAATCTTATTGAAAGCCTACATTCTTTGTCAAATGATCACTAAACATCCGGAAGACTCCTAGAAATCGTTTGGATGATTGAAAATCGACTGATTTTATTTCAATTCTGCCGTGATAGCGAAAAGAGCAGTAAGTGCAAAAATGAAGTTTTGAGAAAACGGGCTCAGAAACGTCTGTCGGGAAAATTTTATTGAAAGAAGCCTCCGTTATCCGTTTTTGGTCAAATTGCCACTAGTCGTCCGAAGTGTTCCTGGAAATCCTTTGGATGATTGAAAATTGACCGATTTTATTTCAATTCTGCCTTGATAGCGAAGAGAGCAGTAAGTGCGAAAATGGAGTTTTGAGAGAAAGGGCTCAGAAGCGTCTGACCGGAAAATTTTACATATTAAAAGGAGCCTCCGTCTTTGTCAAATTGCCACTAATCATCCGAAAAACTCCAATAAATCTTTTGGATGATTAAAAATTTACCGATTTTATTTCAATTCTGCCGTGATAGCGAAGAGAGCAGTAAGTGCAAAAATAGAGTTTTGAGAGAAACGGCTCAGAAGTGACTGACCGGAAAATTTTATTGAAGGTCTACGTTCTTTGTCAAAATGCCACCATAATCGTCCGAAAGACTCCTAGAAATCGTTTGGATGATAAGAAGGGTATTCACCATTTTCAAGTTAGGCTAGTGTTCGGCAAGACAGCCGTAAGTGCTATCTTCTGCATGCTTTCGTGGTTGCGGTTTGAACACACAACAAACACATTTTCAGGTTAGAAATTGTAGAAGAGGGCTGCACTGTACTTGAAGCACTGTTTTCATTGGCTCTCCGGAGGAATAATGTCACTGCTGTCTTGCCTGGAACTACGTCATTTTTTGCGTTCTTACGGATTTCTCATATGTCTCGTTTTTATACAATTAAGATGAATTTTACTGTCTTAAATATCTCATGATTTCATCTAAAAGAGATTAGACGAATTTTGAAGGAAACTCGATTTCGAAAATTTGACACCTACTACTCTTTTCGTTATCACCGAGGCGTGAATTATCGATTTATCGATATTCCCTCCGGAGACCTAGAGACACTCAAGACAAATTTTTGACTAAAATATGAGAAAAAAACATAACCATTCAATAACTCCAAACAATGAGTAAATCAGAGAACACGAACATTCGGCAGAAATTGTGTGTAGCAAATACAATCGAAGAACTATAGAGTGGAGTTTCAGGTAAGTTCAAACAAAAACAGGCATCAAGCATTTTCGACTCTAATCCTTGCACTGAGGGTCTTAAAAAAGTGCTACGGGGCTTGGATTTAAGTAAAGAGATTGTAGAAACGAGTTCAAATGGCTTTTGCACCGCATGCAGGAGCAGGAGCTATCAATATGCGAGATATACTTCGCTGTTAAAAAAAAAAAAAAAAGAAAGTTTAATAACTCATAACTTTCAAAGGGGAAACTTTTAAGGAGGCTGTCAAAACGTCCGAGTTAGGAAACCCTTCATTTTATCCTTCACGTAGAAATGCCTCTCTGAACTTTTACACATTTTTCATCACTTTATTTTGGTGCATTTTACATATATGTATACATTTTCAGCTTTTTATATTATTGCACGTGTTGTAGTTTATTTTTTGTTTAGCGTCAATGTGAATGACTTTTAGGATTCCGCACCATTTTGATGCCAATTTATTTCATAATTTTTTTTTAACGTAAAGTTCATATGAAGAAAGGGTAGGGAGAACCCAGTACCAGTACCGATAAGGACCGTTTTTGGACCCACCCTGAATGTCCTCAACTCTCCGATTTTTTCCTCTGAAGGTGTAAATTTGACGGTATGGATCATGATTTGGTCATTTCGAGCCTCTTTCCAGGTTTCGCTCGGTCTTAAACATGTGTCTACAGGCTGATTTCGGCGAAAAATACGGATTTTTAGGTATGCGAGCGCAAATCCACGAAACCCGCATTTATTACCAATTTCGGCCTTCAGCTTCATGTTTAGCTCAAGCTTAGACCCAAAGAGAGACCAAAAATTACCAGACCAAGATGCATTCCCTGAAAAGTAGACCTGCAATGAGCAAAAAAATCGTAGAGTTATAGAGAATTTCAAGGTGGATGCAGAGACGGCTTAACGATACCCCTCCGTTACTTGAAAAAGAAGGAATAGGGGGTTTCTAAGCAGGATATTTCAACATTTTGTCGCTTTTTTTCAAAAGGCGAAATTTAACAGTCAATGCTACTAGGGTAGAGTACTACTTGTATAGCGAGAGTATGGACAGATCGCTTCATGGAGGGCTTAGGGCCCAAAAGTGCAGCCACCCTTCTAACCAACTTCTGACGCACTAAATTCCACTGCCAGTCTGTAGATTACAATTCTAACGAAGATGGTTAAAAAAGTACATAAATGAGCGTTCTTCCACAAAAATGAGTAAATTTCTGCAAAAACTAAGTCAAATACGTGCTTTATAAACGATGGTTCGTAACAATTGTATTAATAAATCGTTCTAGGTAATTGGAATTCATAGGTTGGCTGCATTTCTGGGCCCTAACTTTATTCGCGTAGGCATCGGTGAGGGCCTGATGGATTTTCGAAGTTTCACATCTGTCTATACTCTCGCTATATACAGGTACTCTATACTAGGGTATGTTCCAAACGGGAAAAGCTGAACAATCGTAAACATAACAAAAGGTATCGCATGGAACACCGGGAGAGGTAGAGTGCAGGGGCTAAAATTTTCAGAGTGATAAGGGTGCATGGTTGCGAGGTGAAGGGGGTGGGCATGAAACATGACGAACCGTCTTGGCTGCTCTCTGACTGCTCCGCTCATCTCGAGACAGGTGACTGGACGCGATGTCCACGCTCAGATGACCCCAAGAGTCCATCCTGGGAAACGACATACGTGTCATCATTCACAATTATAACACACACCAGAGAGTACAAAAAGGTAGAAACCAATGGGTCGTATCCCGCCGTGCTGAGGAAAACCGCCGTATGAACCTTCACACCTTTAGGCGTTGTCTTTCCTTTGACAAATCGCTAAGTTATAGAAAAGTTTCTGAATATTTTTTTGTCAACTTCTCAAATAGTTTCGTTTGTAGGTAATTTGATCTAAATTGTCTCAGAATTTCATGGAAAAATATTCACAACTTTCCTCAAAAATAAACATTTTATCGGAGAAAATTTGACAACTCTCGAATGTTCATACGCCGTTCTTCCTTGGCACGGCCTAAGGAAAACCACCGCACGAGCCTCCAGACGTTGTCAGATTGCCTTCAATAAAAACCAACTTTACTGGAAAAATTTTTGAATATTTTTCCCCCAAAATTTTCAGGCAATTATGTTCGCAACTTGATCTAAAATACCTGAAAATTTCAAGGGAAAATCCGAATATCTTTCCTAAAAAATGCCTGTTTTATCCGGGAAAATTTGGCAACTCTCGAATGTTCACACGGCGTTTTTCCTTACCAGTATTTACAGTCGTTCCTTAGACAACTCCTTTTCTTTGGAGGCTCTTTTGGTTTTACCTTTTGATTTAGGAAGGTTCAAGGAGCCCTAAAGATAGCTTCATAAAATTGACACTTTTTGCAAACCTCAGATAAATTCAACAGCATAACTTTTAAAATGTATCCTTGCAAGGAGTGACAATGATCTGCCACTGTAAAAAGTATAAAGTATGGAAGAAAAAATTCAATGATTTTGACAAACGTTAATGTAGGTGCAAACCTACTCTTAAATTTACAGAGTCCAATATGTTTACTTTCGCTCTCATTTTATTTTGCGGTAAAACATTGGAATCCCTTTCTAGGATCCATTTCCGAAGTTGTACTGCTGAACTTGAATGAAGGGTGGCAAAAAATTTCCTTTCCTTTTATGTTATCTTGAGAGCTCCTTTAAAAACCTAGTTATTGCTTCCGTTTTAAACCAAATAGGACCTCCTGAGTAAAAGAGCTGTTTAAAGAACGACCTGACCATTCATTCCGCAGCGGTAAGTTGCAGCCGCACCATTCCAGATAGGCAAATTGACACACATCAGAAAGCGTGCAACACGTTTTGTGTATGACATATAGTCTACCCGAGCTTAGCAGGCTGCACCTCATCGCTAACGGAAAATGGGTGGGTTGAGTGGAAGGATCACTTCGGTTTCGATTTTACTCCATCCAGATGGGTCCCTCTTCTCCGCACACTAACTGACATCATGAAACTTTGCACGTAAATCGGAGAACTATGAGTATTAACAGAATAATAGAAAAGCGCGTTTAGTTCAACGTCAGAAAATGAGTATACTTTGCGCGAACTTCTATTCAAAGTCAATAGTTTGTATTATTTAAAGACACTATCTGATGCTTCGAGGGAAAATTAGAATGAACTCATAAAGGGGAAAATTAATAATAAAAAGAGGACTTCCTTCGTTTTGTAATTTCAAGTGGCAATTTAGGCAAAACAATAGGGTATTTTTATCATTCTTAATAACTTTTCCAAATGCAATTCAGTCGGACTTTCAAGACCGATCGTTTAGTAAGAAAGTTAGTTATTTTAATTTTCATTGAAAATCGTAGAAACTGAACTGTTTCTGATATTAATTCCAATAAACCTCCTCTACGATTTCTTATACCTATACATGTGACAAGAAAAACCCGAAATCAGTGAATTCTGGAATTCACCAAGCCTCCAAACCTCCTCCGTCATAATTACAAATAATTTTTATAATTTACATGATATTTCTAAAGAGACTTTAGTCTAGTGACTTATTTTGACAAGCTGCATTCCATTGTGGCATTTAGAATCACAACTGCGTCTGTTACTTTTGACATGAGCACCTATTTTAATCACAGGATTGTTTGTAAGTAAGCCGCACAAAGCCCTGACAGAACCCTGTGGAAGCTATAGTCGCAGCAGAAAGTAAATATAGGAGGGAAATTTAGCCACAAGATGAAAATTCCGACCTTTTAAAAGGAAATTTAAAAAATGAAATCTAAAATTAAAGTAATCATATGAATAAAAAATAAATATACTAAGCGAAGCGACACGTTATATGTATAGGAGCTTGTAGTAATTGACTTGTAAATAAGCTAATGTATTTTCGTTCATCTGTGCGATGGAGGTTTTGCACGCAAATTATGTATTGTTCTATTTGAGAATACTGGAAGAACTGATTTCGCAGTGTAGGTATTTCTGTAATTATTTTCTGAAATGGGAAATCGTAAATTAATTAATATAAAAATAAGAAAATGCACCGCCTAGTGACGTTATCTGGCGGCATTTCCCTTTAAACGCAAGTATTCTGGAAGATAAAATAATTTTCTCATGTCTCATCCAATAATTGTTCAATTTATGAACCAATGGTATCCTTGTGTTCAGTTCACTTAGGAGTTTCCACGTAAACACGGCATTCATCAAATTTCAGATACCTGCAAATTCTCCATTAGCTACTCTCAAGGACCCACGCATGGGTCATGAACAGGCACATCTCCTGATAAAAAACTGAGAAAGTTGATGTTTGGACGGATCTTATTATCGTTAGCTAATCTACAAGAATCAAGCATTAAAACACGATTCCGTGACTAAAAACCAATGTGGACACTTGATGTGTGGATTCACGACACGCTGTGAATATTTCACAGCATGACATTCATCCACAGAAATTTGTGTTTCTGTGGGTAGATGAAATTTAAAATTGGGAAAGCGGTGTTTGTGGATAAATGGCATGCCGTGAATCCATGCTCCTACCGTTTTGTAGATCTTCAACATGCCGTGAATCTATAATCGGTGGAAAAATAAACTGCCGCACTTTTATACATATATACTCATTCTTTGGACCAGCTAAAGTCAATTCATTCTTTGGACCAGCTAAAGTCAATATTACGTCATTGTACGCGGAGAAAAAAACTTCGTGCGTGGGACCCGAAGTTTAGGTCATATGGATCTCTGAAGTTTTCGGATTGAGCATCTGAGCACTTTAGGTCCAGCTGCTGAGGTTTGGATCACACATCTGAAACTTCAGTTCTTACATCTAAAGTACTTCAGATGTAAGAACTGAAGTTTCAGATGTGTGATCCGAACTTTGACAGCTAGACCTAAAGTGTTCACATGCTCAATCCGAAAAATTCAGAGATCCATATGATCTAAACTTCGGGTCCCACGCACGAGGTTTTTCCATACCAGTTCTCGTACCATATACCAGAGAGCACCAGTTCTCGCCTGATCACCTAATTTTAGCGATGTCGGATGTGGTTAGTCGAGTAGTGATGTGGGTAGTATGGTCGTATGATTGTAGTTTTAATAGTAATAGAGTGGGTGGGACTGGATTTACAAGACTTTTTTCCAGTATGACACCAAGTAACATAAAGCACACGGTTAAATTGATTTTTCGACATCATTCTTTTCTTTCCAAGCAGAAGCAAAGGTACCGTCCTGACAAAGATTTTGCGTTATCTGTAAAGGTCATATCTCCGTTGATTTGAAACAAAAAGAAGATTTAATTAAATTGCCGATTAAAAGAAGATTTGCCATTAAAAGAAGGCAAATCGACGGCGTAAGTTCGCAACCACGTATCTCGTTTTCGTTGTTTGAATCTCCGCTCCTATTTTATTTTTTTTAAAGAAGAACAAACCGACAATATTCCTTGAAATTTCCACAGAATTTTTTCGGTACCAAGAAGAAATATCACGGCAGTTTTTAAGAGTTGCCGTTGAGTAGTTTTTCATTTAAAAAATAAAGTATGACAGGAGGTCTGCGACGTCGGTTTCAGGACATTTTGTCAACGATTTTTCGTCCGCGCACCTTTTTGGTCCAGTAGTTTACGCTCACACGTAAAATAAGTAACAGTGACTTGGTCCAAGCATTATATTTTAGTCGACATGTAAAATTATATTGACAATATGGAAATGAGAAATTGAGAGAGAAAGAGGTGTTGTTATGGTTGCTCATTTTCTAAATGAAATATTATTACTTTCTCCTTTTGAATCATCTTTTTAAATTGTCATTGGTGAATATTTGGTTTTATTCCTATCCTTAAAATATTCGATGCACAATATACCTTATATATGTATAGGTACTTTTTCTTTTTATTTTTTTAAATTTTTTCTTTACGAAATTATTACTTCATTTTGAAAACATTTATATTTTTAAAACGTGGCAAATATTTGTAAAACCTTTTCCAAGTGACATTAAGCTCAATGAGCCGCAGTTGTGCCGACTGAAACTGCAAAAATGAATAAAAGAGGGGAAAAAACCAAGAAGCACGCAATCTTTAGTTTTAATTTATGTGCACATCGATCTTGTAGAGTCAAATACGTCAAATTTCGAGCGTTTGGTTGCGCGTACACCTCGCTGCAGCAAAATAAAAGCACAAAATGTAAAAGAAAAAATTAAAGTGCTTTGGAAATTATTAAATTTGACACGGAATCACCAATATTTAAAAAGCACACATTACATTATTATTCTCCTTTGATAACTTGATACATATTTTTCCCCATCATTTTAAATGGGAATAATTAAAGCAGAGTGTGCAAACATTTCAAAATCATGAGTTTAAAAACGCTGACTATGCGAGTATAAATACCTATTAAAGCCTAACAGAGCGGAGCGGCGTGCTGCCAGCGCGAGAGGCTCACTGGCGCCTACAAACCTAAGTGGATACTTCACGCATTGCACAATGCTTGAAGTATCCACTTAGGTTTGTAGGCGCCAGTGAGCCTCTCGCGCTGGCAGCACGCCGCTCCGCCCGCCGTGCGGCGGCGCCTGAAGCAACTATTTCACAACAGAGGTGTTGCACAGTATTATACGAAATTGAACGTATTAAGAATGACAGGCATCCTCTAAAAGTACAGATCTTTCCTCGCAAAATAAATCAAGACACTTATAGTACACAGGAAAAATCTAAGAGCCTTCAGCTGAGGCAAATATAGATGTTTATCCGGTTCAGGTATAACAAGATGGGAATTTCTTGAAAGCTAATTAAGTCCTGTTACACCAAAGAGGTGTAAAGAGTTTTAGTGAATTTTGTCTCATGGAATTGACGCTTCCCCATTTTTACTCACTACCCATGAAAACTCTCAACTACATATTATTCTCCGTCGGACCAAACAGACAAAACAAAAAAACAAGCGAACCCTCATTCTTCCAAGACATTATACGTTTTCATCCAAAAACGTCGTGAGCAATGATCGTTTTGTATTTACATGTGGGCCAAATAATTTTGGATCTCAACTGGCACGTGGACCAAAACTCCCGTGCCGAAAAAACGCGTGGACGTAAATTACTGGAAAAAACAGGCGCGCGGACAAAAAATCGTTGATGAAATGTCCTATAACCGTGACGTCACAAACCGAGGTACATGTTTACGGACTTACACCGCCGAAATCCTTGTATTTTCTGTTAAGATATAGAAACCGACTGGTCCAGAGATTGGCTCATCATCCCATGCGTGCCGTTATTGAGTGTACGGCTGGCATCTCCGTGTTTAGTGCAGAAAAGTTTACAGGCGTTTGTGCTATATATCGACGGTGAAACTACCAGACCACGTATCTCGTTTGCGGTGTTTAAAAATCTCCCCTCACATTTTATTTTTTTGAGGGAGATCAAATCAATATCATTCCTTACAATTTTCTCAGATTTTTCTCCGCACAAAGAGGAAAAATCACGGAAGTTTTCACGAAGTGACGTTGAGTAGTTTTTTATTTTAAAAATAAAGTATGACAGGAAGCCTGCGACGTTGCAAACCGAGATATGTGGTTTGGTAGTTTCACCGTCGATATCTGTTCCTTTCGACTTCAAAGGACTGTTAGTTGTGTTTGCTAAGCACATGTATTTGTTTGTTGATCTTGGTGGGGATTGTCTTCCGATCGACGTGATTTAAAGTCTCACAAAGCCGGGGTTGACGATATTTTGAAAGTATGTATGAATATATTTTTATGCACTGAAGAACGCTTTAAGTATGAAAGTCGTAAATATCGTTACCCCTCTGGTGTAAGGGCGCATCCCAATTTAAACGTGCGATTCAAATCGGATGGATTCTTGTTTTTTCTCCCGAAGCGAATTTCGCTCATAAGCAGTATACTGCCGTGCTAAGGAAAAACGCCGTATGAACATTCGAGAGTTGCCAAATTTCCCCAAATAAAACATGTAGTTTTGAAGAGAGGTATGCATATGTTTCCATGACATTTTCAGATATTCTAAAGTGAATTGCGTACAAAATTGTCAGAAAATTTTGGAGAATAATATTTGCAACTTTCTCAGTAAATTCGGTTTTTATCGGAGGAAACTTGGCAACGTCTGAAACGGCTCTTCCTTAGCACGACAGCATAGGCAGTACACTGGAAAAAAAAACACATTGGATCTAGAGTCCAGACTCTTGAAAACATTGACAAGAAAAAGGACTCTTGATTCAATCAGATTTAAGCTGAAATCAAAAGGAAATCCGCTCTAATTAAGAGGCTTGGTTCTTGATTTAAGTTTAAATCTGATTGAATCAAGAGTATTTTCTCTTGTCGATGTTTTTAAGAGTCTGGACTCTAGATCCAATGTTTTTTTTCCAGTGTATAGGGCGGAGTGTTGCGAGTTCACGGCTTGCGCCATCGCGCCTTCAATTCGGCAGACGCAACACGGACATCCATCAAGTACGTATAGTTGTATCTCTGCGCCGTCGTCAACTCGCTTCCTGCTTTCCCTTCGTCTATTTCCATGTTGTGTTAGTTCTGTTTGTCTTATTTGTAGCGGTGCTTCTAGGATCACGTGAGCAACACTGCCGAATAAAGGAGGGACGTGACGTCCAACTGTGGCATGGCGAGAATGATCGATTATTATCGATACTTCCCCATTTGAAGCTATGGTAAAGTATCGATTATTAAGGCGTTCGCTGCGAACACCCTGTTTATCGATCCATTTCCATGGGTTTAAATAGCAGATCATCGATATATCGCAAAGTACGCCACGCCACTGGTGACGCTCCTGACGTCATCGGACCTCGTCTCTCAAGCGCCCTAAAGAACGCACGTCTACAAATGTATATTTTGAAGAGAGTTGTGTCACGGGACTTTTTAGACTACCACTATTAAAAAGCCCAAGCCTGATCAAACTGACCTGAGTCTCTCTTCTTTGGGAGAGGCACTTTAAAAAATAATATTGAGACATTATTCCGACCTATAGCGTCGTTTCTTTTCGAAGAAATTTGGTTTTTTTTTACACTTAAATCCGTGCGAATTTAACTTACAGTCGGTTTTTTTGAGTCAAAGAAACGTTGTATTTTCATCGTTCTTTTGACTTAAACTTAATGATAATAAAACGACTCTTTTTTAACTAAAAACTGATGTTGAGTTGAAATCGTGCGGATTTAACTAAAAAAAAAAAAAACTGAATATTGTCAAGATGTTGACAAGAAACGGCGCTTTAAGTCAAAGTGATTTCTCAAAAAAAAAATTTCAGTGTACATATCCTATCTCACTCTGGGAGATAAGGAAGAGGTGAAAAAGCGTCAGTATGTTACCAAGAAGGTGAAAATATAAAAAAAAAGTACCTTTTTCAAAACTATCAAATTCAATGTGTTCAACTACGGGGAACTATCAAAATCAGTATATTTAAATAAGGGCTAGTTTGAGCCGCGACTTGAGACTTTGCTATGAAAACAAATCTTGGGCATCTCAGGGTTAATTCCGGTGATCAGACGAGAACTGGTGCTTTCAACGTATTGTGGCAAATGACGTAAAGACCCCTCACCATCGCGAACCGCGAGTTGTGATTACTGTCGCAAACTGCGAAGGACTTCCTTGTACTATTTTCATTGTCTTTTTAAAAAAATGTGGATCCGTGAATCAGCCACGAGGCGTGATAATCGACTATTAATATTATTAGATTTATTTTTATATTATCATTCCGAGTATTGCTAGTTGGTGTATTCTACTTCATTTTTCCTACTTATTTTCATTCAATGTGGATCCTCAGCACTCTGGAGAAAGGGATGTTAGTATTGTTAGTCGATCAATCAATTTGATCGATGATTTCTAGATTTGAGGATTTTTCTCAGGAATCTCTAGGCATCACGTCACACTGTAAAACGTCCAGTATATTTTTTGAACACAAAATATTAGGAAACATTTTGAAATGCCTTTAAAAGTACGCCCCGAATGAAAAATCCAAATCTGTTCGTTATTCGATTTGCGGTATTCATCCGGGGCGTAGTTTCGAAGCTATTTCAAAATCTTTCATGAAATTTTCATAATTCAAATTTTGTGTAAAAACACCGAACGTGACACTGCGTGGAGAGATGCGCGGACGTTTTTAAGAAAATTCCTAAAATCTGGATATCATCGATTGATCGATTGACCGTCGAACCATCCTCGAAAAGGCCGAAGAAATATCCGAAAATAAGACATTTTCACGGGGAAAAATTCCATATTTCTCGGTATTTAATGTTTCAGAATTAATTACGAAACGAAAATGGGTTCGATTGCGCAACAACACTTACGTTCATGAACTGGGTAATCCAATCGAGCTGTTGAAACTTCACCAAACTAAACACCAGACCACTCCTAATCCAACGAAATTCCACTAGAATTCAACTAAATCTCGTCCGCACCAAAACATCGCTAATGTCAACATTTAGAGCACATTATCTCGGGGCACAAAACCTTCCAGACAAGTGCACACTCATAAAACTATTTTATCACCGTTGATCGCGCGCACAACCGGGGTGAGTTTGATTTCCGCGGAAATTTAGACTACACGCACAATACGACTGTATAGACTATACATACAATACGACTATATAGACTATACGCAAAATACGGCTGTATAGACTATACGAGTTCATATTATCCTGGTTCCGATTCCAAGACGGCGCGTTTCGGGCGGTTGGCGACGGAACAACAGCGGATTTGCACAGCGCGTAAATTGATGATCCCTTCATGTAAGATTTGCAGAAAATGCGCGATCATTGTTTGGCTCGGCGTCCATACCGAGAGCCCTCTGTTGGATATTTGACGTACCGAGTTTAATTTCGGATAATTATTCTCGTCATTTATTGGCTGGCTATTGTCGGGGACGGGGGGCGGACCGCCTACCTGCCGAGAGGTGATCAGACCGAATCGAACTGCTCCCAATAACCACGGCGTTGCCAGGTTGCAGGGGTGCAATACTGCCGTGATAGCGAAGAGAGCCGTAAGTGCAAAATTTTCGAAATCGAGTTTTCTTCAAAATTCGTCTAAACTCTTTTAGATGAAATTACTGAGACAGCTAAAACAGCAAAATTCATCCGAATTTAATCAAAACGAGACGTATATGAAACCCGTAAGTGCACCAAAAATGACATAGTTTTTTTCAAGACAGCCTTAGGTGCATGAGAGCCAATGAAAACAGTGCTTTCCAGTAAAGTGCCGCTCTCTTCTGCCCATTTCTATCCTGAAAATGTGTTCGTTGTGTGTCTATAATGCAACCATGAAAGCATGCAGAAGATAGCACTTACGGCTGTCTTGCCTAACAATAACCTAGCATGAAAATGAAGAGTCAAGACAGTGCGAAACCATTTCTGATTGGTTCCCGTATTTTAGGCCTCCACAGTGTCACAAACTGGAACAAAGATTACATTATCACCGATTGCAAAGATAATAATCTTAAATGCACCGGGGAAGAACGGGTTCGACAAGGAACAAACGGAATGAGAGAAGAGACGGAGAAAGGAATTTGAGAATGGGCCGATCAAAAGTTACGAAAAACTGTCAATTTGTGTAATCTTTATACCCGTTCGTGACTCAATGAGGGGATAAAGGGACTCTACCTCGTCCGGGAAACGAAGATATATTGAATAAAGTGCAAGAAAATTTTTGCAAGCTTATCAATGAACTTTCTATTGTTGAAAAATGCAAGAACTAACAACTACTAAAAAAGCTCATTTAGCTAAGCTTTGACTATATTCTACCGCTTTGAGGCTCTTAGTAATGGTATATTTGTCTGTTTGGGACGGTGCAGACGAGTAGCACTACAGCCTCGAGCGGGGGCGGAAGCTGGAACGAGACGGAGCTGAGCTCAGTATGAAGGGACTTTATCGAAAAGAAGAGTAAGTGCGTCAAATTTTCGAAATCGAGTCGCCTTTAAAATTCGTCTAATCTCTTTTAATCGAAATCACCCGAAATGTTGGTTACTTTCTCCTACTCTGAATCATTGTAATTTCTTAATAGTTTCATCTGTTTTTGTTTCAGGTAAGTTGCCTTGAAACATTCGAAATCGGCATGCATACCCCTTCTACTCAATTCGTAAGTGTTCCAATTTTTTTCTTAAAACTTCTTGATGATCAGTCATTATGAGCGTAACTCCGTTGTTCTGCCGTGATAGGGAAGAGAGCAGTAACTGTCAAGTTGTCGAAATCGAGTCTCCTTCAAAATTCGTCTAATCTATTTCAGATGAAATCACTGAAACAGCAAAAACAGCGAAATTCGTCTTATTTTATGGAGGCGAGATCTATGAAAGCCGTAGGTACGCAAAAAATGACGTAGTTTCTCGCAAGACAGCAGTATCATTATTCCTTCAGAAAGTCAATGAAAACAGTGCTTTCCAGTAAAGTGCCGCCCTCTTCTGCCAATTTCTAACCTGCAAATGTGTTTGTTGTGCGTCCAAAACGCAACCGCGAAAGCATGCAGAAGATAGCACTTACGGCTGTCTTGCCTAACAATAACCTAGCATGAAAATGAAAAATACCCTTTTTATGCAATGGAAATAAAATCAGTCGATTTTCAATCATCCATACGATTTCTAGGAGTCTTCCGGACGATTAGTGGCAATTTGACAAAGAACGGAGGCTTCTTTCAATAAAATGTTCTTGTCAGAAGCTTCTGAGCCCGTTTTCTCAGAACTTCATTTTTGCACTTACGGCTCTCTTCACTATCACGGCAGAATAGTGCATGGAGGATGGGGAGGGGGGCACGGTGGCATGCCCTACAAAGAAATTGAGTAAATGTAGCATACCCAAAAAATTACTACAATGATTTTAAGACGAACTGATTGCGGTAGACGCACGGGTTATATAAGACAGTAAGTTGGAATCTTATAGCCAACGTGCGTTAAAAATCAGCATAAAGCTGAAAATCTCAATACAGAGGGAAAAAGCTCTCGCGAGCACAATTTTACCTCGAAGAGATACTCTGTATTGAGATTTTCAGCTTTATGCTGATTTTTAACGCACATTGGTCAAAAAATTCCAACTTACCTCCTTTTTTTAAAACATAACTGGTCTATTGTCTTCTCATTTATTGCTATTTTGTCCAATTACCCTACACCTGAACACTTCGGGGGCAAATTTTGTCATTACAGTGGAGTCTTGATTATCCGCGGTGATTGGATCAGAGATACCGCGGAAATTCAAAATTCGCGGGTATTCCAAAAGTAAGATTTGGCCAGGAAAAGTGACCAAGGAGACTGGATTTTAAAATACTCTAGTGGAACACTTAGGCGTATATTAGACAGAAATGTGAGTACTAGTTAGAAATGAATAAAGTTTACCCTGAAGGAGGTTATTTTGGCCGAAAAAATACCTGGAGGAAACTTTTTATAGAAGTTTGTGGCATGGAATTGCAACGCAATTTTTCCGTGCGATCACGGGCTGCAGTCTTCCCTAAACATGTGTCTGAATGCTTAAATTTGTATCTTGTCTAGTGGTCCATTGTCTCGAGAGAGCCGGGGTTTTCTTTTAATTTGACTGATAAGTTGGCACATTTCAGTCCAGCTGGCAACGCTCAGGTAGCTGAAGTCTCACAGGTGCGCGGTAACATGCCGTCTCTCTCATAATCTCAACACTTCAACCGAGGTGATGAAGGACCCCGCCTTCTTTTAAACCACCGACTGCAAACAGATGCATTCTGTAAATGCAAGCCCTGCAATTGGTGGGCGTGACTTCCTCGGCCTAAGCCAATGAAGGCTTTCAATTATGCACCTTCCTTGAACATGCAGTCGGAATTCGAAACATCGCAAACGCTGTCACGAGTTGTTATGACCTAGGCCTTCTTCCATAACTTTTGATGGTGAATATTCTCATAAATTTTCACCTCACATTGTTAAAAATGTCAGGCAATATTTGCACCTCAAAATCCCAGGCAGCTGGTACCGAGATTTTTAGTCCCAGCCATCGAGAATCGACAGTATTGTCAAAAGTTTGGCACAGTGGTCAAAATTTCGGCAGTTTCACTGAAACTTGGTAGCCGACTCAAGAATCTCGGTTTCAACTACGGAGCTTTTTAGGTCAGATATTGTCGCCAAAGGTTTTTTAAGCACTCGACCGGTAGGGATGAGGTGTTCTCATTCAGCTCAAATAATTTCAAGGCACAGACTATACAGCTCCGCAAAGGAACGCGAAATACCACATTATTTGAAAAATTAGGGAATCATTATTTGAGCTACCTTTATTCATATTTAATTAAAAAAAAGAAAAAAAAACCTCTAACCGAAGATGACGAAACGGAAATCCCACCAATATTAGCGTTTCTTTTTCGCACGAAGCGAAACCTTTGATTAAAATATAACCGAACTTAATTGATCTGTGACCACTGAACATTCCGATTCAGGTGACTAATCTTTTCTGGTTTTAGAAATCGAATTTTAATTCAACTGATCAAAAATGTTGATAGCTGCAGTCAGAATCACAGGATTCTTGTACTTTTTTCCACTAAATCATTTAATGATCGAAACCTTTAGTGGGTCATTCCGTTGTTCTACGAATGAAATAACTTTAATACATTTCAATGGTGCCCAATATACCACTCGTGAATGAAATTCATACTGAAAAATGTTCCAAATGCCATTCTGAAAATTTTACTATTTTTCCCTGATTATATTAAAAAATCAGTAGACTTTCGGATAGAATTTTCTCAGTCGAATTTTTGCGAATAATAAATTTGTTCGACTCAATTTTGCAACTTTAGGATGGAGTTACGTTTCTTTTGCATATAGGCAACGACAGCAAGAATGACGGTTGTTTTAAAGAAAGCTTTTATTGTTCTCTCTTTCTTTAAATTTGTTTCCTTTTTCTTAACAAACATTGTGATCTAATAACAGAGTTGTTAATGACGATAGACGCTGTAGCACCACTTTAAAATAAATGTATATTACTACTACTTTCTTTCTTCCTTCCTTTCTTTCTCAGATCGCGCTAAAAGAAAGGAACACTAACCCTGCGAAAAAAATGTCATGGAATTCCGCGGTGTTTTCCATGGAAAATTTCTCCACGTAAAATTGGGCACGGAAAATTTTTCCATGGAAAACCCCACGGAAAGCACCACGGAAAATGTCACCATGGGAAATGTCACCATGGAAAATTTCATCACGGAAAATTTCCACAGTGGAAACCTACCACAGCACTCACTGTGTCTCATGCACGTTTCCACCATCAATTCACCATGGTGTTGTTTCTTTAAGTCATCATAGAACTGTTCCACTCAAAGTTGCTGGTTTTTTTAGTATTTAATTAAATAATTTACAAGTTTTCCTTGTGATAAAAATAAATGAAAATGACACTCACCAACTTAAATACTTTCAACAAGCTTACGTGATAAAACGTCTCTTTTTAAAACAAACATATTTTCATTTTGTAACAGCGCCGCAAGTCAGCGTCCATAGTGAAATTCCGGGCATTTTGTCCAAGCGGATCTACAAGTTTTCAGCTCATTAGTTGCACTGTACGGCGAGCTGTCTGGTCAATCCACGATTAATACAGTGCTGTCTAAATTTAAGCCCACCCATGCGGCGATGTGCCATATCCGTGCATTTTTCGGACGGATGTCTGATCGTCGATGCCAATACTCGGAGTCCCATTTGAACCTCCCCGAGCAATCAAAGGGTAAACACGCTTAATTAGTCGTTAAATTGGCAACTCTGTGTCTGTCTCCTTCTTTGTGGCATGCGGGACACAGTTTACAGATTTTGGTGAAAACTAGGTTGAACGTCGGTTCATGAACGCATCCATTGTGTTGGGTATGGACTTGGATTACATTTTGCAATACAATAAGGAACCACTGTCTCTGCGGTTCTCCCAGAAAAGAGCATATCTGCATAGGGAAACCAATGTCATGTACATGTTGTTTCTACAATGGGCCAGAAATAGTAGTAAGATAGAAAAGCTGGAAATGAGAAAATTCCTGACAATTTCACTTTTCATTACTATTTGGTACTCGAGAGAATAAAAATTCGATCACATAAGACCCGTTACCTCAGATTTCTAAATTGACTTTTGAGGCTGTGGTTACATAATGAACCAATCGAAATCAATATAATCTCACCTGAGTGATCTGTCAAATACGATCTATAAAAACCATCAAGTGAACGTGCCGGTGGGGGAAGGGTGTATGAGACGCATTTACTAGTGTTGGGCACATTTTTTGTGAAAGCCCTATCAATATAACAAGAGTTCAGTTCCGTAAACCCATCCCTGTTTGGACAAGGTCTTCCACTTAAAAAAAACGAACGAAAAAATTATGAAAGAATAAACATAAATGTAGTTAAAAATTTTAACTTCCACCGCCGCACGGTGGATCGAGTCAATGGGAGGGGTCGGTCATCGCGCATCACGCGTCTTATATTCTCTGATTACGGAGATTTCCCACCCTTAGAATAGATAAAACTACACTCATTTAATGTATTTTTCGTGGTAGATTCCAGTTTTGATCATTTTTCAGCCGAATAACGAGTTTTAATACGAGTTTGACACACTTTTTCTTAACTATTGAAAATGGGATCCTCGATAGCTGTTTTATCACGTTAGGTACTTTCGGCGAATGGGACCGTAAGCATCTTACGTAAGGAATAATTTTGCAGAACTTGACTCAATGACATTACTTGAGGAGTAAGGGAGGACGGCTTTACAGCCCCCTCACCACGAAGGTTGCCATATTTCTTTCAATTTCTGCTAACATCGTTTTTTGTCCATGTTAATTGGTTTCACGCAATTGCATACTGACACATATACGGAACATTCTGATAATGTTCATTTTTCTTCTCTTTTCCTCCAGCCAGTCAATAGACGTTTTCATTTTTATGAACTCTCTACTCTTTCAGTTATTCAACAAATATGCATATTTCAAAAAATAGATCAATATATTAAAGAAATAAAAAAGAGACTATATACTGTAGCTTCTTTTTATCGAGTTATCCTAGAAAATTATTATAGGTACTTATCACCAGATAAAAAAATTGAAAGTGCAGAGAAAAAAAAATTATATTATCTTCCATTATTTCATTTTGTTCCTCGATGTTTGGAGTGAAGTTTGAAACATATTTATTGAATAAATATTAAAATAGGAGGAAATTTACTTTTCATGCAAGTTCTGATCCTTTGAAGAACCTCTGAGAAAGACTATTGTCTCTTGAAGAAATTTCTTGTATTTCTTCTTTTTCAACCCACAACCAGTTTTTACTTTCTCCCTACCCTAGGGCAGAGAAAGTATTGCCATCCTCCAAGGAGGGGGGGGGGAGTTGAAATTTTATTTGTATGGAGCTCATGAAAGAGTTCTAGGTATGTTGAAGACATTTTGCAAGAAACGGGACTTGTGAAATATACAATGCGCAAAACGTATACCTTAAACTTTATCGCACAGTATAACGCTGATCGAATCAGCTTCAAAGACTAAGAGAAGGTTAATGTCTCGTCCAAAAATATCAACAAATAAGCCGAAATCAGTAATCAGTAGAAAAATTATCGAGATTGAAGGATATGGTGTGATGCACGATTTTTTTGGTGACAATAGAGCAAGATCGGATTTCCAGCAGGCGCGACTTCCTATCATTCACATGGACCGTTTTCGCAGATTAGCGGATATTAGCGGCTAATTATTACATAATATCATTCCTGATAGTGTACAGGAGGCAACCCAACAAAGGATTTTGCGGACACTTGTGGACATTTTCTTATCGAGCTATTTTAACATTTTTTTGGGCGTTTTTTTTAAAGCAAGCTTTGGAGGTGGTTTTGGTCCTCCTAAAAATATGCCAATGCACAATAATGATATACCAAAATGTTCCTTAAAGGGAGGAGAATAAGCATGTTTAATTGAAATTTTGATTTATCTGCCACAGAACTCATGCAAAAGCGAAATAAAACCTTGAGAATTAGACGGCAAATTTGATACCACCTGCAATGTCAGCTTTAGGCAACCCGCATGTCAAAGCGGAAGGGTTCAAAGATCCTAGAACCGTGGATACATTCATTTTGGAAGCTTAACTACTAGAAAACCAAGAAAAAATATTTAAAATCAGACTTTTTTTTTCGTCGCCCATGACCGACCTCTACCATTGACTCGATCCACCGTGCGCCGCGCCGACCGCACTGTATTGACACAATGCGTGAAGTATTCATGCAGTCTTGTAGGCGCTATGCGTCTCACGCCGACCGCTACTGACCACACTGTTTGACGCAATGCGTGAAGTATTCATACAGTCTTGTAGGCGCTATGCGTTTTATGCCGACCGCCGCGCCGCTCCATTCTAGGTCAAATTGCGTGTTTGGTTTCTCTCTTAAAAGTCGACTAATTAAACGTGTTGTCTCTTGTATCACCGAAAGACGAAAAAATTAGAAATTACTGTACTTTTACTCTCAGGAAATGATAGATTTTTTCGCCTTTTCTCGTTTGTAATTTATTTTCTGAATCCGATTTTTATCTCTCTTTTTTTGATACCTACATTCAAAAAAATTGCAAAAGTTGCCGTCTCCTACATTTTGCCGCCATGGGCCGCCGGCCCATGTGGCCATCCCCTTAATCCGGCCCTGAATCTCACCCAAAAATTGTTTTCTTCTTGGACGTTCCTCTCCTTTCTTTACTTTAATATTATTTTTGCAAAGGTCAACTTATTCAAAACTATCCAAGTGCACGTATTCGGTAAAATTATGAATAAAACAAATCTAATCATGTATGTTTGCACCTATTTTGATCTCTTCCCGTCGTAATTCAGCAAAGTACTCGTATCTAAAAAATGAACCCGAATTGTTTTCAATCTGTATTCTCAACGTTTTCTGGATTTTTTGAAAACCCTAGTAAAAATTGGCGATAGGAGCTGCATTTCAAAATACCATAGGAGTTCTCATAGCCGACTAAAGAAGGCTATTGAAAATCATATAGCTGACTGTAGAAAGCGGAGCAAATCATATAGCCGGGCTATACGAAGATATGAAAAAGTGTACAGTCGGGCTATAGTTCCTATCGCCGGGCTTTACACTTTATCGCCATTGGCGATAAAAGGCTATGAGTAATTGTGTAGAAATTCGTGTGCTTTGGAAATCATTGAGTTTAATACGGAGCTACCTTGGTAGTATTTACAAAACACACATTATATTTTTCTTTATAACATATTTTTTTTCATCAATTGAAATGAGAATAATCCATACAGAGTGTGCAATTATTTCAAAATCAGGAGTTGAAAAACGCTGACTCCGCGAGATTAAATATTAAAGCCTAACACAAAGCGGAGCGGCGACGCACTGGCGCCTACAAACCTAACAGGGATACTTCACGCATTGCGCAATGCGTGAAGTATCCCTGTTAGGTTTGTAGGCGCCAATGCGCGTTCGGCGCTCTCTGCCCGCCCGCCGCGCCGCAGCTTGCCACGGCGCGCGGCGTCTGAAGCAACTATTTCACACCAGAGGTATTGCACAGTATCATATGAAATTGAAGACGCTCCAACATATTAAGAATGACAGGCATCCTTCAAAAGTACGGAGCTTTCCTCGCAAAATAAATCAAGATACTACGGCACAAAAAGAGAGCGGTAGTCCAAAAACCAACTAAGTCCTAGTATCCGTATTTAGCAACGTTTAGCATAAACTTTATCGTCTGGCTGTTGCTTAATCGCCATCGGCTATAATAGGCCTATAAGAAATTGTACAGCCGGGTACAGAAGCTATTGGAAATCTTACAACTGGCCCTAGGTCTATGGTATTTTGGAACACAGATTCTACTGCCAATTTTTACCAGGGAATTGGGGGGGGNGGGGGGGGGGGGAGTCAGGCCAGCGTTACGTAATTCGAAAGGGGGTTGTTGGGTTGCGTTACGAGTGCGTTAAAAGAAGGGAGGGGGGATCAAAAGTGCGTTACGCAATTCTTGAACGGCCCCCTACGTCCTGGATTAAA